GTTAAAATAGGGAATGTGAACAGAAAACAGGTACCATGCAGCAGACAGATGCAATCTCAGAGTGAGAAGGCTGCCTAGTTCCATCTGAAGGACAACACAAAGCAAAAATTATTCTCAAAAGGGCATGCTCAGGAGGGTCTAAGGCACCATATCCACAAGCATGAGCCGTGCAACCGCTCGTGGAGGGCAGATTGGTACTTTCTTCTGTCTGTTCATCACTAAGTTCAAGGATCTGGATGCCATCCATTTTGAATAAGAATTATAATCTGAATCAAGATCAATATCCATATTCAGTGGATGCATTCTACAGTTATAATGGAAAAAAAATCAGATCCCAGAATACAAATATCCTATGACTTCAAGGGATTCAATATCCACCACAGAATACTTACATTGCTGTCTGGGTTCATATTCCAAATTAAAATTCTCGTGCTGTTATATGCTAAGACTGTATAGCTTCTATCCACTTCGATATAAATGACAGGGCATAGACACCAATTTTTTTTTTTTGTATTACTGTAAAACATAATCCACTCCATGAGAACTCAATCACATCTTCAAGAAATCTCAGATTTTTACTAATAAACAGGCATAGTTCTGGTATAAACATAGCCATCTATTTGCACATGTTCAATTATGGAATATGCCAACATAATCTAAGACAATAATAATTATTACTATTGTACATATTCTGGGAGTTAGGCTTCTGAGGTAGATAAGGGAGGAGAGCAGATCCCGAAAGTGGAAGAAGCGAGGCACCGGAAGCGTTTACTACACAAATCACTATTTTAATAGGAAAATTGTGTCTCCTGTAGCCAAAATTCCCACAAAACCAACTGCAGTTTCACAAATACACCTGCCTTTTGCAGAATGCTGACACAGCTTGATATATGTTATTTGGTGTGACTACAAAGGACATTTTATGTATGCCACGGAGTTAGTACTCAGAGACAAAAAGAAACAGTTTAGCTAGGCAAAATAACTTAGCAAAGACCAAGTACGATTCCAGACCCACATTAAACAAGCACCTGCTTAATTTTAAATGAGGTAAGTTTTACTGGTTTTGAGCCCATAATAGCAGGTTAGCCAAACTGGTTATGAAGAGGCCTTCTCACTGGAATGAGTTTTAGAACAGGATTGTGTGTTTTTTAATGGATAACAAGGGATTCTGCTACATGCATTTTTCTGCAGGTTATTTACAGTCTATCTTTCCAGAACTTCCCTCAGCAATACTGCTGTAGTTGAGATGTACTAGTGTGTACTTCTCACTAACACTTTTGAGAAATACAGGTATATTGTGCAAGTGTGTTTACCAAGCAAGGGCTTTTTAGAGATTATCCCTTTACACTCTCATTTTCATTATTTTTGCAAGGAAGTATGTCCAGAAAGAGGATGTACTTCATAGTATGTCAATGTTTATCTGGAGACAAATTATTATCTTCAAAGTATAGCAGATGTATGTGATGGAAAATAAAAGGTGGTGTAGAGACAAGCAGCAAATCAGTATTGCCAGTGATAACCCAAGAAATGCTACTCTGGCTAAAAAAAAAAAAAAAAAAAAGATACAGATTTGCGTGTAATCTGGTCCATGCTGCTGGTCATAGGGTGGCTGGTGGTCAAATGTCTCAGCTGTTTTGGTAGTGAGCTCTCGTCCGGTGGCTCTGCCACTCAAGGGGTGGCTTCTTTCCCTGCCCAGGTGCAAGCAGCCGGCCAGGCATCATGGTGTAGCCCAGCCTTTCACAGCCACAGTGTAGCTGAGGTCAGAGGGGATCTTTGGAGACCACCTCATCCAAGCCCTCTCTTACATTAGCCAGAGAGGTTGCCTGGGGAAAGGAAAAGGAAAAGCAGGTTTCTGCCTCCTTCCTCCCTGTAATTTTATCGGATCTCTTCTCCACAATCAACTTCTAATGCTAACAGAAACCAAAAACCCTGTGGCAAGCCGCTCATGCAGCCTCCCCAACGAAGGGCATTGGGGAATAGCTGAGACCTTACACTCAGGTGCTATCTGCACCATAAACCAGCAAGTTATTCCATCCCCAGTTTGCAGGGTGAGCCGTTGGGTAGCTCTGCTTGCTCTGGAGAGCCCGGGAACCACTTGGGCTGGCGGATCCATGAGGATGGTCAGCGGCAATGCAGGGACACGGGTGGCCACAGTGCACAGACAGACCAAGCACCAACCACCCACCCACCTTCCCGAAGAGCCCCAGCAGCTCCCCAGGGGCACGTGCAACTAAGAGGCGCCATCCACAGGCTCTGGTAGGCCTGGGGATCAGCAGAATGGGAGATAACCGGCAAATGGAAACATAAACCCCAAACGAGCCCAAACCTCCGCCCCACCCCGCGCGCATGCGCACTCTGAACCCACCCCTGCCCGCAGCAACCACACAAGCGGCGGCGGCCCCCGCGCCACCGCCGCGCGCACGGGCGGGGGGG